GGGAAAAGGAGTGTCTGACTCGTAGTCGGCCACCTTCACATCCCCAACGAGGTCACTCGTCACCAATAGCGTGCGCGGAGCGCGACGCTCGAGCTCATCGAGTCTAGGATTTACATCCCTCGATGCCGCGGAGACACGGTCTGGCATGGCACCGTGTGTGGGAGACGAAGCTGGGCTCTGCCCGTGAGCGCTGTCGGAACCAGCGAGACTTGTAGACTTCGGTATCATTGACACAGGGCTCATTGAGCACGGACGTCGCTTCGTTCCAACGCAGTGTCTAACGGACACGCAAGCCTCGTTGAGGCAAGAATCGATTGGAGCTGTAAATGTTCTCAACCTTAATGGGGGAGAGTGTAACGGGGTTAACACATCCTGGTAACAGGTGTGTGTGTCACACCAGATGGGCATGGTGCGCCCACACTCAAACAAGAATACGTTACGGGGCTGGATAGCCAGTAGTCATACATGTATTTAGATTTTACTATACATATATGTAAAAATTTATGCATTTAAAATTAGGCGGCTTTGCCGCAGATAAAAATAAATAAAGTCAGTTTTGCTTTTGAACGGAAGAGTTAATCAGCCTTGGGTTAAGGCTGTAATTACTCTTGGAGTAAGCGTATTGCGATCCGCTAAACTCGTACTTGTTCTGAGTATAGGACGAGAGCTCGGTGACCTAACTTACGCTTCCTCAAAGCGCAAAGCTACGGCAGCCACGCTGCAGCCTCGTACTCTTATTTTCGAAGACAGACTTCGCTTAGAAAAGCTGTCCCTTCCTTTTTCATCTCTGCCCCTCTCGTCGTGAATCTGACTGAAGACCGAGCGTACTTCACGAGCATCGATTCCGCGCTGTCAAATGCGCGAATCGAAAACGCATATCGATCACCTTCAACAACTCTGCAGCGTTAGCCGCGCTTTGAAAACGGCGGATCTCCACAGATTTGATCGCATAAAATCATGCTTAGAATCGAGTGTCAATTGTCTAGTTGGGATCCAGATTGAATTGCTGGACGTATGGTACATACATGAGGCTTCGTGGCTCACCTAAAGAAGAGTAATTAGTCCGATTTCGGGAAAATCCGCGATTCGAGCCATCGGACGAGTACTCATTGGGCGAAATAGTTCATCTTAAAGGTGGATTCACCACATCGGCCCCGGAAGCTGTCATGAAGATCAAGCTCACGATAGCGCAAATGCGCTGGATGACGTGAATTCGAAACATCATCCGAGTTCGACGGTGATGATGACACTATGGGAAGCAAGCGAATGGGTTGTCACTCTAGAAACAGTTGGGCAGAGTGTGACGAAGGATTGAACAAGAACTTGAGAAACAATTGAAAGGTTTTTATAGAATCTGATTAAACGCACTTTTGAGCTGTGGGCGTGATGGGCTAGGTTCCATTACATATGTTGCATGGATCACATACTTTGTATGTCTGAAATTAACTGTACACCCTGTATAGTTGTATATCCCCTTTCAGTTCTGTTGTATCAGAACTGGAGGTACTTATCAGGTAAAGGAGGTTTAAAACTTATTTTCTCTTATAAATGTCATTTACCTTTCCTCATCTTTACGAAGATCAACGGTCTGCTGGAAGCGGGTAGCACGCGGTGAGGCGTGTCAGTTGACGTAAGCTTTTGTGTACACTAACGGGCAATTCCCATTACACGATCTCAGCACGTACACATCCGTTAGACCGCGGCATGCGGTCGTACTTTTTTCTGTAGTGGTACACAAGCTCAAGCTGTCCATATCCATCACAACAGTATTTGCATCTGGAGGCCCAGCTAAGTGTGACCTATCTCAATATACGGTCACATAATCCCACTTTAAACGAGTAAACTCTGGAGATGGTCGCTTACTTTTCACCCAAAATGTATAACACTGGGTATCATGACTTATAGCCGCCTTTTCTTCCGAGCTTCTCAACATTCCTAATATTATTCTTTTGTGCTCTCCATGTCCTGCATGTATGCGCCAGAAGCTCTTCTGCTTTCGAGAGCGCTACACCATCAAGTATCAGATCGTTTCTATGGCTTCAAAACATTGTTATCACCATCAATCCGGAGCTAAAATCTCTCCCCTTTTTGTATATTTCGCAGCCTTCGCGACTGGGACGTCCCTTTGGAGGTATAGCTCAGTTCTGCCCAGTAGGTTACTTTATATCTCTTAGATTCGATATTTTCTCAACAAAAGACCTGTCGATCGCCTCTGAGTGGGAGCTCGACTCTTTGTACCTTTCCACCGAGACAGAAGGACACACAGGGAGCAATGTCTAGTGTGTAATATCTGCAAATACACGACGCTGCTTAGCGGACGAGTGACCATGCGCTTCATTGCTTATCCGCACAGATATTCCGTGGATACGGTAATAATGACTGCTGGACAAATTTCACTATTTGAACGAAGTCCAACAATTTTTTTCGTTGGCACGCGGTATTCGATTTAGACCCATACGAACACTTGCGACATCGGTCGCATGAGTGTCGTTCTGAGAATGCCTCATTCTTTAAGGCTTCGCCCATTAGTGCCTATAGTGGAACGACTATATGGCTTCAAAATCATTCGCGCAACGACGTGTTGCTCAGTTTGGAGCAGCGCGAGTCTATGGCCATCTCGACCTCACGTGCCCAGTGAAAGAGAATATCGGACTCTGACCGTGAAGTACTTCAAGCTATACGAAAGCAGTCTTACTCCATAGATCTCGACAGAATTCGGTGCTATTTTCACCGGCGATTATTCAAAGATATATGGTGAGCGCCTCCATGCGAGCGAAAGCCACAACCGGGCCTTCAGGCGCAAGTCGCGCTATCACTTCAGGGCCAGCTAAATCAGGAGCGTATTAGCACGGAATTGGTAGACATTCATGTACTACCTTCCACCGATGGTGTAGTTGCAGCAAGAAGCAGTCGTCGTCTTGAAGACAAAAGGTACTAAGGGCCCTTACACAGATGAAGCATCGCCTTGTTACGTCTTCGTCTTCGTTGGTAATCACCGATAGGATATCTGTAAAGACTGTCTAATTAGGACGCAGAACCAAGAGCCTTCCAAGTGACGGTTCTTTAACGAAATTAATAGTCTTTCGAGGTTCAACTTAACGAGTACCATATTTCGTCTAATAGCCAGTTATAAACTTATACTCCAACTGCGATGTATAACCATAATTTTTTGGTTAACACACTGCGTGAGAGTATGTTTCACGGACCTCGGACTTGAACGCCATGTCATCGCGGTATTTTAAGCTCCGCTCTATGCATGGGCTACAGTTTTATGTGTATTTTGCCTTGTTACATACACCATTTCTTCTCGTAATGCCCACGATTAGCCAAATAGGTCGCCATAATATGCTTTGTTGTGGAAGTTGACCAAGATGCCTCGCCTTCATCGAAGTTGACACCGCGCTATTCAAATTTTCTCTGTAAAGAGAAGCCGGTAGCAAACGGGATTAAAAGGCACTTGAATTGACGAAGAAAAGTTAGCGGATCCACTTATTGCTCTAACGTGCACAGCCTCCCTGTCTCTTTGTATTCCCGGAAATTGTTAGATGTTTGGATATTTGTTCCGGTAATACAGTCATATACATGATCTAAGAGTTCCTACGATTTTACACTTTCCTTGACTAATTTAAGACCCAATTATGTTGTTGCGATCAAGTGCAAAATATTGTAGCTGAGACGGTCAATGATCTTAGATGAATACTTTTATTGACGTGTAAATGCCATTCGGCTCTCAGTAGCCAAGTATGTATGTCATCTGCCGTAAATCTGTCATGGATGATCTCTTGAGTTTCGCCACAAGTTTTGACTCCCTATATGTCCGTGGGACAATAGTGTAATGGATACGTAAACCATAAAAGTGTACGTGCCCTTTCACACTTTCCTTCTAAGCTACATACTCTCCTCTTCAGCTCTTATCAAAGGTGAGACCAAAGCGCAAAGATGATTAAAATCTACATCTCGGGGATCTACTAAATCCTTCGGTTTATGCAGTGCAACTTTTTCTAGCAAATAACTTTGTTATGGTGTCTACCACATTCATTTACTAACCATTGGTCATTTGAGAAATCCGTCCTAATGGCTGAGACGACCCCCACCACGGTGCCTAGCGAGGAGACAACGCAAGCACAAGAAATTCTTCACCTACAATGTCGCTTTTATGAGCAAAAGTTTCCAGAAATTGACGAGCTTGTTATGGTAAATGTGCGTTCTATCGCTGAGATGGGGGCTTATGTATCGCTGCTGGAGTACAACAATATTGAGGGCATGATTCTGCTGTCGGAGCTGTCTCGACGCCGTATTCGATCCATTAACAAACTCATTCGCGTGGGTAAAAATGAAGTTGTCATGGTTTTGCGTGTGGACAAAGAGAAGGGCTACATCGATTTGTCAAAACGTCGGGTGTCGCCTGAGGATATTGTCAAGTGCGAAGAGCGGTACAACAAGGCCAAGACCGTGCACGGTGTATTGCGTCAAGTGGCTCAGGAGAATAATCTGGAAATTGAGGATTTATATTCAAAAGTGGCGTGGCCGTTGTACAAGAAGTTTAAAATCGAAACTACTAGCGAAGACGAAAAGAAGGTCGAGTACGTCCACTGTTACGATGTTTTCAAGATGGGTATTACGGACGATACAGTATTTGAGGGGCTAGAAATTACACCTGAGATTCTAACGGCTTTGAAGGCCCAAATTCGCCGTCGACTTACACCGCAGCCCATTAAGATTCGTGCGGACATTGAGGTCACGTGTTTTACCTACGAAGGCATTGAAGCCATCCGCTCAGCCTTGCAGGCTGCTCAGAACGTTAGCACAGAAGACGTTCCCGTCAAGGTGAAGTTAATTGCTCCGCCCATGTATGTCATGACCACTAGTACACTGGATAAACAGAAGGGTATCCAGAAATTGCAGGAGGCTATTGAAGCCGTACGGGAGAATATAACCGCAAAGAAAGGCACCATGTCTGTCAAAATGGAGCCGAAGGTGGTGAGTGTAAACGAGGAGAGAGAGTTCTTGCAAATGATTGAAAAGCTCGAAAACGAAAGCCGCATGGTAGATGGTGACGCTCCGGAAGATTAGACTGGCAGAGAATTGACACATTTAAGCAGAACCGACTGGATTTAAAGTAGGATACTGCCCGTTTAGCTTTTGCAATTCGACAAATTAGCTGTAAATTTCATTTCGATGTGAATCTAATATCATTTGCGACGGGGCCAATGTGCTTCGTTAGTGAATGAAATAGTTTTTGCAGCAATATGGTGGTTGATGTGTAAAAGACCATCTCAGTCAAACTATTTGCCACATAGCGGAAATGATACCGCAACATATAAACTTCCTTCCATTACAACAATGTTGTTTCTTCCGATGTGCGCAGCCGTTTGTACTCACTATACTTTTTGGATGAACCTCGCACCTGCAAATGTGTGATAAGCAAACAACAAGATCTTTAAGGGACTTAAGCGCACTCACCAAATCGGTAGGGTACTTTCTTGCGTTCTTTCTGATTTTATCATCAATAGCTGCAGGCAAATTTACATCGCACTTGTCGGCGAGACGCACAAGATAAATCAACACATCGCTTATCTCTTCACCAAGGTGCTCCTTTTCACGTGCAGACCAATCTGCAGCGACGTCAAATCGCACAAAGCAATAAAGCCGCCACACAAGCTAATAGTTTGAAATAGCTACTTACCCGCCGTATTTTTTACTTCACCTTTCCACTGGAATATCTCGCATAGCTCGCCGACTTCGCCGTTAAGAGCCAACAACAAGTTGCGAGGTGTGTGGAACTGTTGAAGCCAAACAAAAATACGATTCGAGGATTCAGTCAGTGTTTAAGCTAGAATTTCATTCTAATTGTTTACCTCATTCCAATCGCGTTCATCAGCAAAGTCTGCAATGCGCTTGCGAAGCGATTCAAAAGTCATTGTTTCCTCAAACTTTGCCGGATATTGACTATCGTTACATTTATCAACTGGAATTGCAACATTTGTTGTCGTCTGTGCAGTCGACGAACAAGTGAAAACATCATCACTCATTGTACTGTCAATCTCACCATCTAGCAATTCGCTACCATGACTGCTGGCACTGAGAATATCAGTTGTATCAACTGACTCAAGCTGTGTTTGCGAATGGTTTTGCTGGGACTGCAGTATTGCCTGCGCTCGTGCCTGAGCTTGAGCGTCCGACATTGCCTGCACTTCCGCCTGAACTTTGAATATGGCTTGCGTTTGAGCGTACTGGTATGCCTGTGATTCAGTATTTGTCTGAGGCTGCGCTTGATCCTGAGCATCTGTATTTGCCAGTCTCTCCCTAATGTGTTGTTCATAAGCAGCTTCAAGTACATTTTCTGACGACAATACGTGCTCCATATGATGCAAATGAGTATCTGTTGTGTTTGAGTCGTTGTTTTGCCCTATTGACGCAGTTCCATTACCACCGTGCGTTGTCAGCTCATAGTCTGACTCGTGCAGCGCACCGTTCATCAGTTTCATTGACTCTGGTCCAATAGGATGATTGTGCTTATCATGCATACGAACTTTAACGCGGTAAGAGTGAGGGCCATACTCTACTGCCGAAGCGTAAACGTGAAATGGGCACCCAATGTCGCGCAATTTATGTCGAAGTCGCTTGCCACTTCCACGCGAGCGAAATTTTATACCGTGTGTACATTTAAAAGTTTTTGACAGAAATTCAGCAATGTTTTTGCGGTCGTGCTTGCCCTTCGACACGGTGCGGTTGTACACCTCAAAAGTCAACGATGAGCGCTTGCGAATTGGATGGTATGCTGCTGTTGCGCGCGCAATCGCGGCATCAAATGACGCCCAGTCCTCATAGTATTCATCAAATAGTGGGCGATCAGGTGGCGGTGTAACGTCCAGGATAGACGTTGACGTAGTAATTGGTTCGACAGTTGTGTCCATCATCGGCTTCGCCTCCTCGATCGATTCCATTGAAATGTCTAGTGGCGCGAAGCGTATTCAGATTTATCAGAAAAGTAGCTACTTTTATTAAGTCTTTACAAACACTAATGCCAAACCATCACTCTGTTGACCACAGACTCCACCATGAACGACTCGAAGTCGTCCAACAACGTCGAGTTACAGGAAACTCTACAGCGTCTGCAGCGTGAGAAGGGTGAGGCAGATGGTATGCTGCGCATTCTTACGTCTAAACTCCATGAGGTAGAGGAAGACAATTTTGATTTACGGTTCAGTATGTCGCTATTTGAGACTGAAACCAAGTATGAGAGCGAAAAGAAAGTGAGTGAGATGCAGAAGCGGCTTGCAGCTCTCGAATCAAATCTTGCGTTTATGTCTGAAAAGCTGCAAAATGCTGAACGTGGCAAACTGCGAGCGATCAAGGAGATGGAACAGCTCCAGCAAAAGCATAATATCGAGGCTAAACGCCGCGACGCTGAGCACAGACTTATGGCCACTCGACGTCGTAAGCATGAGAGTTTGCAAATTGCCAGTCAAGCCAATCGAGTATCTCAGAATCAATCTCAATTTCCACAACCAGGAACGAAGTCATCGCCAGTGCTAGCAGTGGAAGCCAGTGTACAGACCGAATCGAGACTTGGAGTCGAAAATTGCAAGGATGGCAATTTAGGTTTAAGGGAAGAGAACGCACGATTGTTATCGCAATTACTGACAGGAACTTCAAGGAGTTTACTCACGCTGCTGAACGGCGCATCAACCAAAAACAATGGTATTTCTGAGGTTAATTCGGATGACCAAACACAGCTACCACATGAACACCACAGTATATCGCCGTCACAATTTCACAATGATTCCTCAAGTCACTCGCTTGACGACTCGTTGCAGCAATCAGTATATGACGATTCGTTTTCACAAAATGTATTTTCACAATTTGCGGGTAAAGCAACCGCTCAAGCTCAAGCATCGATGTTAAGTGCTGCAATGAAAAGTAATGCAACGCAAAATGCGTTGGCGATAGATCAAGCACAAGCGCTGTACGATGTCATGGGTAAAATGCTAGCAGGAGATGTCTCGGCTATCGCACTTGTCCCAGTGTTTATAAACTATCTCACAGCTGCAACACCTCTGTCGGCAGTTTGCAGTGTGCTGCATGTGATGTACTCACTGATGCATAATAGTGCGCATTTTCGATACTTTTTACTTGTGGTGTCATCATCTTCTAATGACTCGTCTTCAATGTCCAGGCAACAGAGTAATTTGAATAGTATTGAGCACTCTCGTACTTCTCTGTCCGGCTTGCGTTATTCCACATTGGAGGATTATTTGTCAGCTCGAATAGACAATGAAACGGTGTTAAGCAGCAATTTGCTACAGCTTTCTACATCAGAGGCAGCATCGGAACAGAGGCAGCTTCGTTTGACGCTCATGACTGCACTTTGTGAAGCCGTTAAAAACAATCTTAATGAGCCTACTGTTGTGCAGGCTGGACTGTGTGTACTCTGTTACTGGATTGATTTAGGGCTTGCGCACCGAACTCCAGAATTTAAGCATTTGCTGTCAAGTAATTTGATTTCTTCGATATTGATGGTACCACAAAATCTTTATACACACAAAGCGCAAGCAATTCGATTGTTTTTCCAGTTACTTCGCGATCCAGAAAGCTTCGTTGAGGTTAAGAACGAGGCTAAGAAATCGCTACTATTTTATCGGTGCGCCAAGATGTTGGTGCATTCAAAAAATAATATCTTGGGAGATGAAGCCAAGAGTTTGCGAGTACTTCAACACCAGATCGTACAACTGCTGCTTCTTATCGTCACATCGTTTCCAGCGGAGGGAATTCGTTTCGTGCTTGAAAGCACTCATGGTCCTCCTGCCGATGGATCTAAAAACCAGTCCATTATATATTGTTTAGTGCAATTACTTGATCGCGAGACATTCGTTGCGCGATCTACAAGCGCAACGCAAGAGCTATTAAGTGACCAAAAGCGTATGATTTTGATCCGGGATTCGTTCGCATTACTGGGACTTCTTTCCCACTATGTGGATGTACGAAGAGAGTTGGGAGGTGACGACCAGGTGCATATCTTCCTATCAATTTTATATTTCCTGAGCACTTTCAACAGCGACAATGGAGACAACGATAATCGAAGCGACTCGATTGTGGCGACAGCTCGTGCCCTAATAACAATGGTGAACTTTTCGACTCAGTAACAATGGGCGATATGCGAAACTACTTGCGCCAGACAATACAATCTAATTTCTTTAATTATTACTGTAATGTTTCTCATTAAGTACGAGAGATCCACTTTTCTGGCCAAAGTGACAATGTCGTTTGAGAAAGTGCAGTCATTTCCCACAAGTCGTCGACTGTTAGAATTTAACATTCACGAATTCGAACGAAGAAAAGCAAGCTTGTTGGACTGACGAGTAAACGAATATGAAGTTTTCGACGTTACTGTCGGGATTGATTGCGCTGCGAGCTATCCCTGGATCAGCATTTGACAATTGTAAGATTTGATGTAGATTGTTGAAGCTGTTTGGATGAAGTCTAACTTTTGGATTGCGATGATTCTGCATATAGCGTGTTTTGAGTTACCAATTGTCATTGTGTCCCCAACCAGCATAAAATTGCCAACAGAAACATGTAATCAACCTCGGTTTCCTGCTCGTGATTGTATGAAAGACGCTGTGCCAGCTAATATTGAAGTGATCGACAATGCGGATGGTATTCTAAATTGTTTAGACGGAAATCGAACGGCAATATATACTGCAAACGCTCACTACCGAGGACAATCTAGTCTTCATTTCTCGAAACACCAAATTGGGATCGAGCTAGATGAAGACAATGAACTGCTTGGGTTTCCGGCAGATCGAACTTTCGTGTTAAACGGTCCAACGGTTGATGCGAGCTTGATACGCAACCACCTCGCTCACTGGATGTTCCGCGCCACAAAGCGATACTCTCCGCGGACTCGTCACATTGTGGTCTTTGTTCGTGACAGATTAGGAGATGACGACTGGAGACCACGATATCGGGGTATCTATTTGGCTTTGGAAAAGATCGCGTATACCCCAAACCGAGTTGGATTGACTCAACTAAATGGTGCTTGTCAGTCTACTGAGGAACTATCTGGAGGTTGGGCCTGGCAAAACAATCCGCTTGGTTACGGTGATTACTCGCCTAATCTTGTGACAAATGAAGCTACGGGACTCTTTGGTGCCGGTGCGAGGCCAATTTTGACTTTTCCAGAGCCAAGGACGATCACACAGTCTATGCGTGATTATTTTGTGTCGCCCGAGACTGGACCGCTCCCTCGACTGTACCAATACCTTTACGACAACATGACTCAACCGGATGGCCTCGAGAAGCATATTGATATCGGCTCATTCGTTGATTACTTTCTACATTCCGAACTGTCCATGAATTCGGATGCTTACCGTCGCAGTACGTACTTTTTTAAAGACCGTGGACAGCCTATCAATGCTGGACCCGTTTGGGATTTCAATTTGGCTTATGGACTTGGTGGCTATAAAACGACGTGGATGTATACGATTCACACTTTCTGGAAGCGTTTGACATGCAATTACAAATTCGCATCTCTTGTTCAGCAGCGCTGGGTACAGCTACGCTCGACAACTTGGAGCAACGAGTCGATCACATCATTTATCCAAACAAGCGGCGAGCCACTTCGACGCCAGCTGATGAAATGTCACGATTGGAAGAGCGACAATTTGCAGTGCGCGAATGTCGAGGCAAAAACCACGGGAAGCTTTGATGACGAAATAAACGGTGTAGTCAATGCAGTATTGGAACGTGCTCACTGGATGGACTCGAATGTATTTGGCTTCTACCAGGCTTTGAATAGTACAGTTTGTGTCGCTGCCGGTGAAATTCCTGCTTACAACTGCGCAGCAGACGGTAGTGACAAGGGCTGTCTAGCAACTCCCAGCGTCTACAGCAACGCTGTCGCGTTTCCAGAGCCCCGCAAGCCTATGACCGCAAAAGCTTGCGATATGTCAAAGGTGTCTAACAGTACTATTGACAAACCATCGATTGATCCGTGCTGGTTGTCAGCTGGTGTATACATGTCGGATGGTTCTATCACGCCATTTTGCTCAGGCTACGGATTTTGCCCTGAGGGACCGGGTGCGACTTGTACGTGCAAGATCGGACACCATCCCCCCACTTGCGCTCGCATTGACGATCCAATTATTCCTCATGGAGGTTTCGTCAGGGATGGTGAGGCTACACAGTATTTGTCGTTAAGCAAGAATCTCTCTCGCGGCAACGTTTACAACTTCTGGCTTATCCTCTGTGCACTATCAGCGGTTGCGGTAGGCATCGGTCTGGCAGCTCATCAACGACGTCGTGAGCGTAAAGGTCTCTTGAATCATTTTGACAATAAAGTCTCATTGCGTTACGGCACGTCGTAAAGGACTTAGTTGTGATATCGAGAATACAAAAACAATGCAAACGTCTTGATGACTCATAAACCTCACAATTTTTCTACTTTGTTTTTACAGCGTCTTGGCGAGACAGCTCGACGATTTGATTGTCTTTTATTTCAAAAATGCTCGAAAAGCATGGAGTGATTTCTTCTTCGTGGTGCGTGATCAACACCATATGAGTTAGTTGTGCCGCGTGCTGACCGATAGTCTCGATCACTCGCAAGACGTGCGCACGATTAAATGGATCTAAGCCGTGGGTGATCTCGTCAAGAATTAACAAATTTGGGCATGCTGCTAGAGTGCGAGCAATCAAAACAAGCTTTTGCTCCCCCTGTGAAAGTTGCGAGAGAGAACGCGCATGCACTGAATTCGGAAGCATTAACAAGTGCATGGTAAGCTTGGCAGCTTCTGGACTTGCTGCATTTTTTTCAATTAGGCTGAAGGCAGATTGGCCGTCCATGTTCTCCACCTGCAAGCTTTTGTTCAAAATTTGGATGTGTTGGTCTGTTGAGACAGTTTCCAGTCTTAACTTTGATTCTTGTGTCGCATTCTCGCTGATCGAGTCTGAAACCATGGTTTTCACTTGCTTTCCGACAACATATACCTCACCTTCAGCCAAGCCATGGCCCGGTGTTTGCATCAGAACACGCATAAGAGAGCTCTTGCCAGATCCATTGGGGCCAAGCAAAGCCCAATGTTCATGCATATAGCGCACAAAGTTCACATTCTTTAAAAGACTTCTCTTGTTATCATAGGAGATCGAAACGCCTTTCAGTTTCAAGGCAGGCATGTTGCCGTGATGACGTCGGGCTTTGTCCTGGCACTTGTAAAGTTTCTTGACAAGATACACAAGCTCAGTGTCAGTCATCTTGATCCGCTTTTCGTGCTCTTCCGCATAAAACGCCTCTAAATGATGTATCATTGCCTTATTTCGTGCGCCATCGTCTTCTCTTTTTGACCAAGCAACAACCTCATAATTATGATCGCTTTCACACTGTTTAAAAAGCAGTGTATGCGTAAAGATCTCAGGAAGAACCTGCTCCAGTCGATTCGCGACCAGTAGTACTTGTGTTTTGTAAGCAAATGCTTCATGTTTAGCTCCTGTTGTCTCAACCAATAATCTGGTAAATCCCCTTGTCAATTGTTCAAGCATCCACTGGAGCTGCCTTCTCGCCTTTACGTCCAAGCCGTCGAATGGTTGATCTAGAATCAGCACTGATGCCTTGGGGGTATTTACCAGCGCCACTGCAAGCATTAATTTTCTCATTTCTCCTGTTGACAAGTGACGCACTTGCTGTTCCCATACAGGAAACAACCCAAGGCGCACAATTAAATCCCTCGCAGTTGGCGAGCCAATTCCTCCAAGCACATCAGCCACCACACGGTTTCCATGTTGTGCCACGAACTCCCGATGATCATCAAGACTGAGGCTTGCTAGACGGCAGGACGCCGGCAGTTCTCCACTTGCCTTCTGCGCCTCGACATGTTTCTGCAGCTTGGCCAAAAATTGAGTCTTTCCACTTCCATTAAGCCCAACCAAGCAATGCACGTCATCTGGTAGGAGCTTATAATTCGGTGGTAACGCGATTATTGGACCAGACGAAGTAGCACATCGCTTTTGAGCCATGTCATTGCCCAACGTGGTGAACAATCGAGTCAACGAAAAACAACTTTGACTAACTTGGCTTGAAGGCCGCTTCAAACGACGCAGCGAGGACTTGAAATTGTACCAGACACCGAAAGGCAATATTTTCGTTGAAGTTGGTCGAGAACACTGCTTTATAACGCTACATGAGCGTCTCAGTGCCGAACATGACCCCAGCATCAGACATGTAAACACAATCAATATACATGCGATAAAATTTATATTTAGCTTCATATTCAGTATCGTAGGTTTTTGCTCTACGACCCACGTTCTCGTGCCAACATGACGCGGGTAATCAGGTCGTTCATTAATGGAAAATATTTAGCGCCCAATGTGTCAGCACCAACATTTATGCTGCTCAATGCAGCAACATGTAAACCAGAAACATCGTTTACAGCTGCAGACAAGGCGCAAGTCGACGAGGCCGTGGGCGCTGCGCAGTCTGCACAGAAGCACTGGCGTCGTTTGGGTCCCGCCGAGCGCGGCACTATCTTACGCAGAGCAGCAGACATTTTAACGACCAAGGCAAACGAGATTGCAACACTAGAGACCATTGACACAGGTCGTCCCATCGCTGAGACGAGTGTAACGGACGTGGTGAGTGCTGCGGACTGTTTAAACTATTACGGAGGTGTGAGTCCGTCTGTAGGTGGTCAGCATTTGGAGCTTTCGAAAGGCAGCTGGGCATATACAAAGCGTGAGCCACTGGGGGTTACCGCCGGTATTGGGGCTTGGAACTATCCATTACAAAGCGCAGCTTGGAAGTCCGCGCCTGCTCTGGCATTTGGGAATTCAATGGTATTTAAACCGTCTGAAGAGACACCACTTACAGCCTTGAAGCTGGCTGAATCGTACTTGGAGGCTGGTGTCCCGGAAGGAGTATTTAATGTTGTTTTAGGGGCAAGCGAAACGGGGCAAGCGTTAGTTGAGCACAAAAATATTGCTAAAGTATCATTTACTGGTTCCGTGGTGACTGGACGCAATGTGTATGCAAGTGCGGCCAAAGGTCTAAAGAAAGTGACAATGGAGCTTGGAGGTAAGTCTCCACTCATTGTATTTGACGATGCTGATGTTGAGCAGGCAGTATCAGGAGCCATGATGGGCAACTGGTATTCGTCTGGTCAAGTTTGCTCCAATGGCACTCGGGTCTTTGTTCAACGCAAGATCTTCAACAAGTTCGTGCAGCGTATACATGAGCGCACGCTAAAGTTGCGGGTCGGTGATCCGTTGGATCCGAGCACGGATATTGGTCCGATGATCCACAAGAAGCATATGAAGTTAGTGCAGAGTTATATTGACAAGGGGGTAGCGGAAGGAGCCACGTTGCTTAAAGGTGGGGGTCAAAGGATTATGCCATCGGAAGCGACGAAAGATGGTTTCTTTCTCACCCCTGCGATTTTTATAGACTGTAATGATGACATGACAATTGTACGTGAGGAAATTTTTGGCATGGTCATGTGCATATTGCCATTTGATACTGAGGAAGAGGTTTCAACTCGTGCCAATGACACGATGTTCGGTCTCTCGGCTGGTGTATTTACAAAAGACATCACGCGTGCTCACCGCGTTGTTGGTGAGCTACAGGCCGGCACGACGTGGATCAACAATTATAACCTCTCGCCGGTTGAGACACCGTGGGGTGGCTACAAGCAGTCTGGTGTCGGTCGTGAGAATGGTCTCGCTGGAATTGAATCTTGGACGCAATTGAAGTCGGTTTATGTTGAGATGAACGACGTATGGTGCCCCTATCCTGAGTAATTAAGAATTTATCGAGCCGCAAAATACGTTTATTGCTACGGTTATTACGCGAAGCCTCTGTAAGGAATATACTACGACTGCTATTCATCTAAGCGCCAATAATTCAAGGTTTCCACTGCTAGTTCTCCCCGGGTGTAACATGAGTTTTGGACGCATTTTCTCTATTCGTCTCGGATGTTTCAAAACCTGATCCCCACGGAGTGTACATCGAGTCAACCGAACGGAGTGAAAAGATTACACGTGTTTAAAAGACCTGATCCGCGTCTCATTTAGTTCGTTAGCATTGTGATCGGACACGTCAATCTCGAAAGTATAATAAGTAGATCTAAGGCTTTGACACATTATGAGCACGCCATCGCAACTTCAATTTAGTCAGTACCAAATTGAGATGTGCTCCACACTGCCCATCACCATCGCTGGCTCTTTTCGTAATAAACAGGCTAGCATAGATGCTGGGGTAGTGATCGCAATATGCTTGAGAGCTCACACAATAGATTGTATGTGGTAGTATGTCTAGTCATAGCTGTACTCAGCCGCCTTAAATTCTCACGTTCTGTACAACTAAATAAAATATATCATGACTTGGCTTCTTCCGTAGCACGTGGACAGTAAAAACCGCTGACGACGTCTGGGTAGATGACGTTCACTCGGAAAAGTCATTGCTGTCATGTAGATAGTATGGTAGCCAAGACTTCTTGTGAGCTTTCACCGCTTATTACACGATGACAACATTCTTAGAGGTCACATGGACTAGAATAATTCGAAATTATCACTTCACCAATGTTTGCTGCGATTTTCAAATGCACTTAAATTGATAGCATTTGGACAAGGCATACCTGTTGAGGTAGTCGCAGATTGGCTTAGCTGTTCGTGATTCTGAACTTTGCCAATATTCTCTGCGGCGATCAGAGCCATCCGTTTGTTAATTTGAACACAATGATTTTACTCGTGCACATGCCAGAAAAAGGTATCATAAAAAAAAAATTGATGGAAGTAGAGAGAAGCGATGGTAACAAGGATGGTAGAAGAAGTATTTACTTATAAAGTCATTTCTCGGTCTGCATTTTTATTGTCGGGATCCCTGGTATAGATCTTAATGAAAAGCACACAACAAGATTCGCTGAAAAAACATTGCGATGGTATCATGCTAGCGATTGTAGGTGTTGATTTAAATCGGAAGTCTTGGATCCTTGCCTCGTATATTATGATTTGACCTTCAACAGCAATCCAATCCATCAAGTTTCGTCAATTCTCTTACAACTACGAAGGCATCTTTATTTCATCTATTATCAAATTCTTCTCTGAACGAAAAGTCGAATTCCTGATCGTGACGTGAATTATGAATCGAAATACCGCTACTGGCAGGAAGATATCTCTTCGAGGCGTTGAGCGAATGGTTACTACATCTGACGGTATATCCGTCAAGATCGCACACTCAATGCAAGTGCGTGGAGATGCGACAATGCTTCTCCATTTTCTCCCAAATGCAGTTATACATGCGTTTAACATACACCCTAGAATGCGAGCTCTTCAACTCAGGAATCCGCGTTTTATGGCGGAAATCCAAGCTCCCATAGCTATGGACACTTTAAGTAACTTGCTGCGGGTAAAAATACTTAGACCCTCAGACTATGGAGATGGTAGTCCTACGAGCTGGCAATCATTCGTGGAAAGGGAGTGTAGTGTCGGCTTTGATCGTCATTGCCAATTGCCATTCTACCTTTGGGTGTGGGTGGCCAAACGCAAGGATACTACTCGTCTGATGCTATTTTCAGACCAGTACATGTCTGATGGATTCTCAGGTAACGTGATATTAAATTGCATACTTGAACATGTAGCAAAACTTGCCAGAGAATCCTCATCGGAATACCAACGACCATCTATGTCGATCGCAGAAGAATTTGAGCTCCGACCGTCGCTCTACCGAATATGGCTTGACAGGATAAAGTGGGTCAAGCCGCTGCTCAAAGGTTCTGATGCAATTTTCGGACGTCGCATCCTTCGTCGCAATGCACGCAACTTCGTTCCTCTTCTTGCAGCTCGTAAAGATCAGAAGGATTTTGCTGTACCTCCTAAAGTTAACGACACCAAAGCTCTATTTGCCGATGGAGAAACTGAATCAATGCGTGAAGCCCTGAATAAATGCAGAACAGAGGGCGTCGCCCTTGGTGGTGCTGTGGTTGTTCTTGCATTGCTCGCGTTCTACCGTATACGTTGCGGCGACGAACTGCAGAAATGCATACATCCATTTCGAATCAAGATGAGTATAGACTGCAATATGCGGCATCAAGTACAGCACCCGGCTGAAGAAGACACTGTGGGGATGTACACTGCGACCACCGACCTGGATTGGCTCAACTCCGAAGGCGTGGACATGCTGAATACACAATTTTGGGAATTGGCTGGTCGAGCTTGTCGCGAGGTTGAGGCTAATATCAAGAATACCATTGCAATGGCGCTGCCTACTATCCAAGCTGACCAGAAACTCAACGCCAAGATGAAGCCAGCTTTTCTCAAGGACGTTCACATTCCTCATTCAATCACCTCTGACGTTGGAGTCGAAGCGCTGTGCGTCTATCCATTCGAGAAGCAGCATGCACTATCTAAAAATCTGGATTCAGAGAGTCGACAGGGTCTTCTAGCAGCTTGCGAAGAGCGTTTGCCAACTGAAAGTGGAAGTGATTTAACTCTACTCTCGCGACTTGCGACCATATGCTCGGCTCCACACAAAGAGTTATCGGTTGAGAGTCTACATGTGTTTAAAGCTCTACCACATTTAGCTCCGTCTGTCGTGATTTTTCTGTCCTCGGTACATGCTTTCGGCTATTCAATGGCACATAAAGTGGACGTTGATGTTGGAAACGATTTATTCACAGCATTCGTGCTGCTTTGTGAAAGCTTAGGCAGTATCGGAAGCGACGAAAATTTAGCTGATGTTCTCGATCGTTTGAACGAGTGATACGCAAAATCCAGAATCTCGCTTTTAAAACTAGCATATTATGAAAACGTTACCGCGTAAACATATATTTTAATCGAGTTATTTAAATCTACCTGCAGTCATAGTTTCTGCGAATGTCAAAAAAAAATCCGATACCAGAGTTTGAAGTTTTTATTTTTGCACAAGCGCATATAAATTGAACACTAAAAAATAGCATCATCAGCGCTTCCAATCTACTTATCTCCTGAGAAAATGTCAATCTCAACCACGAAGCTTTACATGGCGATCCAACCTTGCTGGAGGAGTCTCCTTGTTTATCGATAAATTTGGTTGTTCAAAATACATTTGGGTGACAGGATCAGGGATGATCGAACTGCGCAAATGACGACTATACTCAGCCTCGCAGTCTTCAGGAGTAGACTGAACCGGAGCTGTGTTTTCAATTCTCTTGTTTAGTAAAGGTCCATTTTCTGTTCGGTGCATGGCTGACGAGACGGCAGGCATAATCAAATTATCTCCGTTGACTGGAACAGACACAACTGCCGGGCCATCCAGTTTAAGATCCTTCGTGGCTGATAGTGCTGGCTCTGTTTCTTCGAGAAGAGGGTGCAACTCGGCGTTTATGTAGTGCTCTGCGCCACGGAGAGATGTTGAAAAGTCCTTGCTGGTTTTGGAGGTAACATCAGTGTCTTCAGCTGCAGTATTAGCAGCCAGGTTCAACTCAAAAGCTGCAACCCAAGCAGCGCTCACAATGAGGCGACGAAGAAGTTTCATAAATCTCGTTGTCCTGGGTGATGATGGGCCTGATTTCTTTTTTGGTTGTGACGAAGAAGTCACGGATGAGTAGTGGTCTTCAATTTCAACGAGGGATTTTGCTAAACGGCTCTGTCAGCAAGAATATCAAAATACAACGGACTTAAAACTGCACTACTATAATGTTGAAGGCAGTAAACGGCTATAATTTGTTCGATTAGCTGTTGTAGCTTTTCATTAGCATTAAGGCTTCGAACAAAATAGCTGTAACGGTCATTGCAACGGCCACTGAGAGCATTGAAATTAGCCTGCGTAAAGAAGTGGCTTCAACGCTCTTACTGCAAAAAAACTCGAGCAATGTATCAATCTTCCATAAAATAGACTTGGCAAGGAGTAGCGTGATGATCGTCGTAGTAGGGCTGTCATTTTACCTTTATCTCGTGGCAAAGGCTTTCTGAGAAGCCAGAGCTGCTGCCCCTTCATTAGTTTGACGGTGACCATGGTGAGCCTGAAACAAAACGGATGCATTCGGTTTTTCAAATCTTGTGAAAATACTGCCAATAATTGAGTGAAGCCATCGAAATGCTTGCTGACAGGTGACATGATCAAGCTTCAGTTAAATGCCTCGTTGATGACTCACTTGTTCGAGTAAAGGAGAGAATAACCTAGGTACGCATTTGTATTCGCCCGAAATTCTTAAGCTGTGAATTGGAGTCGTTATACTTAGAATGCAGCAGGTCTTCGAAAGAAAAAACGATAGACACGTTTGACCTTACGCCACTACTTTGCTGGTATATTGTTATAAATTTAAGTGCACATCGCACACCCACCTTTTGGTCTGTCATGAACGCTCCGGAGTTCCATCTTTTCGTTGATAGTATAATTTGAGTCTCAAGTATTAGTTTTTTTCTCACTTCATAATTTTTTGGATGACTAACTAAAAACGTACAATTATAAGAAGTGTCATCCACAGCTAGCGAGTCATCGCAGTATTTTTGAATACCATCGAAATTGTTTGTCTTTCTTTGAGCTTAGAAACTTGAGAAGAAAATTAAACGTTTGATCGGTGGTTTAATTTCTTCATGCGCCGTCTTGATTCGAGTGCGCGCACGACTTGCGAAAGAGATCGTTTTTTTTAAGCTCAGCGTAAGAAAATGGTAATTTTTTCTGCATTGAGATTGAGATTGCTCATGCTCCTTATGAGGCGCTCTTCATTTAGCTTATCCGGAACAGTCATTTTGTTAACACCAGCAAAGGTGCTTGTCCGTGGGCGAAAGTGTATCTTTAGCAAATTTTGGACTTAGCAAGTAACTAAATCACCAAGTGCTAATGCCTGGTAAGAATCATATGTGAAAATGGGGGTCTCCCTTCACGAGAATTAGTGGTTTAGAGTTTCGTGAGCTACAGATCTTTTGCCAACAAGAGCTTAAGCGTACTTCATCTGCACTCTCTACCTTCCATGTCGAATACGCCTTTACCATGGACTCTGCTGCCACCACTCAACAAGCTCGATAGAACGAGCTTCCATATGTGGAAGTTCAAGATGCAGATGTTGCAAAGGGTAGAGACTATGGGACGTGACAAGTAGAGAGATTAAGTTGAGGAACTTGACGACCTCGTTGGGACAGCCAACAAACAAGCGCAAGTCAAAGCAAGCTTCAGGATCATCCGGTTGGTGCTGAACTTATAGCTGCTTTTGGAGCGGTCAGTCATTGGAGCGTACGATGCACAGTCTCATCCACTAAGAGAAGAAGATTTGGAAAAGAAGATCTTCAATCGTAGTCGATTCTCCACGGCAAAGATCACAGAAGTAATGAAGCGATCACGCAAGTCAGCAAGAGCAGCTTGACGTGATGGGCGCTTCAGTCACGAATGACAAGTTGGTGTTCTTGCTTTCTGGAATTTTAAGTGATTCATTCGTGTTGTATACCGTTCTGAAGTCAATTTTGGACTCGCTGTCGTGAATTCTTGTGTCCATGCGTCTTTTACGCAAGAACATGAAGCGCTAGAAGTAAAATGGTTCATGGCGCTTCGCATTTGACAAGCGCTCTCGATGACAGACGGCGGGCGACGTAAAATGCATTGACGCAAGCGAAGATCTCACAGTCATCACACTGATGTGGAAGACATGGGCATCTGGTTGCGGAATGTCCAGCACACGTTCGAGACAATGTAGAGCGACAACGTTCGCAGCGCATAGGCATTGCTCAATGCGAAGTGTAACGCACCCTGGTATAAAGGGTTGGGTTACACAAGAAGGTGTGACCACACAATGGTGTATCGACACCTTAACAAGAAGCCACTACATGGCGGGACTGCCAGTAGTTATGCACTTTAATTATGTTTTACTATTTAATAAGGAAAACCTAAGGTTTTAGATATAGGCGGCTCTGCCGCAAATCAAATAAAATAAGTACAGTTTGGATTCTAAACGGAAGAGTGTGTTTGCCTTGGGTTAAGGCTTTGGGTACTCTTGGAGTTAGCGAATTGTGATCCGCTCCACTCATACTGGTACTAGTATAGAGCGTAAGGTCGGTGACCGTTGCTAAGCTTCCTCTAAGCAAAGATCTACGGCATCCCTGCTGCGCGAAGACTACTCTGCCGGGAATCCTTTTTTGGCTTGTGGAAATGAATGCACCACCAAGTAAGCTGCGTGTGGCTTGTCGACTCTGGCTTGACGCAGCATATGGCGCATGCACTCGAAAGAGAACAAGGAAAATCACAAAGCTATGTCTTTGACTGATGTGCAGCTTACGCATGACGGCATCGTCCGAGCAGTGGTCGCGATCGACATTGGCATAACAGCGACAACACCACGGGGGAAATAGATGCTATGCCTTCTGTTTAGCACCTGTATAATCTTTTTTTGAATTTGTTGGACGATATACCTAGAACGTTGAGCCTGTCACTTGTATATGTGATTAATGCTTGGTGAAGAAAAGATTTACGCGACAAACTTGGTGCGCGTACAGGTATCGGGACTCTTAGTTGTACACAGAACGGATTGAAATGAAAGGATTTAATGTGACAGTCTCGTTGGGGCGCCATGGAGATACCACCTCGTACCTCTGGCACCTTTTACTTGGTCACATAAATTACCCCAGTCTTGACATTACCGTCAAAGAATTATGGAATTGGTATCGTGCTCGCATCTGTGAGCATTGGGGGCTTGTTACAGCTGTGCGTTTAGCAAGCAGACACGCGCAAGCTATCAGTCAGAATTCTTTCAACGTCTTGCCAGACTTCTGGTGGTCTTTCACATAGCTGTGTGTGGCAGAATGCAGCTTATGATATTCAGCAATATGTAATACTTCATCACGTTTATTCATAAGTCATTGCATATCACCATGGTGTATTTGCTTCAAAACAAGTTTGATCTTGCCAACAAGTTTACTGATTTTGCTGCATTTGTCGAAGTACGGACTGGAATTGTTGTGAAAGCTATTCGTCGCGATAATGACGGAGGGTGTACATCAAGCGAGGTGATCAACTTTGGTGTCTGGGCGGGAGTTAACATCGCCTTATATGCTTGAGCTAAATGGGGTGGCCGAGTGCATGAATATAGACGTTTGTCGAGTGTGCTCGCTACATGCTGTAGCGCGCAAAGTTGCCTTAGACGTTCTTGTGTGAATCTACCATAAATACCAATTCTGCTCGAGCGTTGTCCCACGCGCAGTAACTCTTAAAATTAGTCGACATTCCAGGTTTGAACCGGTGTAGGCAACCTTAAAGAATTTATTGTCGTGCTTTTGAAATAGTTTCTGATAAGAAACGCAGTAAATTTGATGTCCCGGCAAGACTTCGTCAATTTGGGCGTATTGACAAAGCGTTTACCGCTTGGAGATATTGAAAGCGGTCGCGTTCAAGTTAGTCACGACGCCAAATGCTTCAAAACGTCTTTGATGATGAACGTAGTGATTACCCTCATGATCAATAGGCGTCTATGATGGAGCGAAAACGGATGATGATTCGCAGTTGAACGCTATTGACCAAAACAAAGACCTCGTGATGAACAAAAAGGCGAGGAGTGGAGAAGCATAAAAGTTCAGCGGTCACAATCACCAATAGGAACGGCTGCAAAGGTTCCGGGGGCAAATCGAAGGTTCAGCACAGCACATATTAGGGGATATTTGCCTCAGCGGAAGCCCTTCGAGCTTTTTGTTGTGGTTGTAGTGAGCCTGGTAGCCAAAAGGGACGCACAGAAGTCCAGCATCGACTATATATAGACCATTGCTCATATGGCCAAATTTACGTCGCAATGGATCTTATCGAGCTTAAGCGCGAAATATTATCAATGTTAAGATGCTAATGTTAAGACTGCCTTTCTCAGTTGAGTTTTTGGATAAGATTTATTTGTGGTGCAATCAGTTGGATACGTTAGTACAAGCTATCTCGGCCACATTTGCAAGTGAAAGGGGTCACTATATGAAGAAAAGCATCTTATCGTATATGGAACAAGACAATTGATGACTTTGTGCAGCTCTTAAAGTTTAGCCAGTGTGAATCGGATCATTGTATTTACGTGAGGCGTTCAGGTCAACACATGAATTTGCGACACCTTACGTTATGACTTGATCTCGCAATTAGCAGTGTCAAGATGCTTAAGGATATAGAGCAAGTATTAACGATTGATTGAGAATGACGAACATCAGCTAGCACAAATACTTTCTCAGAATCATACAATCAGCAAGAAACGACAACATTTACGGTTTCAATGCGGTAGAAGAAGTTTACAAGCGAAATTTTGAAAAAGTCTAAGATGGAGCACATCAAAACCCCAGGATCCAGATCTACAGATGAACATGGTATTTTTGAAGGCGGCTGCAAGCACCAAGAAAGCAATGCAATCGTGTCGTATTGATCTTTCCGTGAGATGCCTCATTAACTTGATGATTGGCACGCAATCAAACCTGGCAGCAACACTGGGAGTTCTAGTCAGTTTACGGCGGATCCACACCCAGTGCATTGGCAAGCTTTGTTACGTGCCTTCGATGCATCCAAAGGCACAGCAAACTTTGTGA